AACATGATTAAAACATGGGCCATTATTATATTTACTTAAAAAAAAAAAAAAAACATGATTAAAATCGTAATACAAATATTTGAATCGTAATCTTCAAACCTAATTAAGATAATTACTTCGACTATTGCATTACCATGACTTATCTGAACATTACTCAAACTTCAACTAAAGGAAAACTGAACCTAACTATTTCTAAACCAAACCGAGTAAACAGAATATCTACGACTTATACAAAATTAGGGTGCTTTTTTCTTATCATAAGAAATTTATACAAACTGGAAAACAGATAACAAAAAAAATATATATATCATTTCCTAAGAAAATATATATATATACAAAGGTCGAATGTATAAATTCGTTCTGGAGTTGATAATAGACCGGCCAAAGCATCTCGGAGTTTATGGGCCACATCCCACATGTTCAAAAAGGGTCGTCTTTGGAGTGGCTCAAACTCTCGTCCAAACATCCATATATAGTTATTTGACTTAATAATCTAATGTATGTCAATTAATTATATAATCGCATGTGTTTGTCCAAACTCCAAAGAGAGGTTCTCCACCCACACAATCCAAGTAACTACTCCGAAAATATAAGCGAACAACATGCATTTTTTATAAATATGATAGAGCAACTTTTTAAGAAACATAGAGACGCAATAGCTCTCGTCAAAACCTCTAAACTCAATTTTTTTTTATGTCCTATTGACTATGCGATAAAGTCTACCGAAAAAAGAATATGCCGTCGTAAATACAAACGACGTCGGTGAGATCGATGCCAAACAAAATAACGACGTCATAGTTTATAGTTTATTATTATGTTGTGGAACTAAACCCATATTAATAGAAACGTGTCTTCCAATATATATTGTTAACGCTCTCACCATTTGGGGAATTTTATAAACAGTCGATAATTTGATTTGACTATATGCTTGATTAGAGACACATATAATAAATTAGTTTAGCAGAAAGAAAGATAAATAATTAAAAAATGTAAAAGATATCGGTAAAAAATAGCGGTTAATAAAATGAAAACACTAGTACCGTTGCTTATAATCGCTTTTGTAATTAATAGTAGGTTATTGAATCTGTATAATTTTTATCTTTGTGGTAAAAAAAATTACAAATTAAACTAGCTCGCGCGGTCTTTTAAAATTTTTCCCCTTTTAAAAAAGCTATATTTTGCAAATATGTAATATATTAGTTTGTGTTAGTGTTGTTATTGGGTCAACATTTTTTAAAAGATATTTTTAGATTATTTTTTTCACATAATCTTTTTCAATACAAAATATGTAGTTTAGTAGTTTATACAAGTATCGTTGTTGCCTGTATAATCGGATTCAGTCTTTGAATAATCTTTTTATTTTTTGTTTTTGCTAAATTTGTATTCTTTCTTTTTATTGTAATTCCCTTTTAGATAAAGGTTACATTCTCTTGCTTCGGCTTCCACAATTTGGTTTCATGAGGTTTGGACCCTTTTGTTTTCTCTTGTTATCACTATGAAAGTGTAAATAATTTTCCTAATCAGTTTCCTAGTAATTTTCCCATAAACTTTTAAAACTTCTTTTGCCAACTACATGAAAATGGTCCGTTACATGACTATCCCAACTAAGAAAGTATACTCGTAAATCGTAACTATATCAAAAATAACTAATGCATTGAGATATGCACCGAAAAACGAAAAAAACATGGCCATCACTTATGTTATATCGGTCACGGTTCGCCCTAAAAATGACAATACCTATTGATTTGGTTATATAGTTGTATCAAATATACACTGATTTCGTTTGAAATAGTGATATGTAAATTTTAGGTGAAAAATAAAATAAAAACAAACTTGAGATTGAGTTAAGGGTTTGATTTCATCATTTCATGTCAAAATACAATTGAACACAAGTTAAAGCTAAGTTTTGAATGGAAATGATGTCTTGTCCAAAGAGATACATTGGCTAAAAGCTCAAACTTTCACACTGTGTTATTGGATTATAAACTATTTGATTGAATTTATCGGTAGTGGAGGAATTTGAGAATGTGGAAGTTTCGTTGGGGACAACTGGGGTTAATGAATGAGGAAGAAAGAGGGACCCAATCTTGATTCATTGGAAGTTGGAACCATCTAAATCTTTCTGCTATCATTTTGCTTTGCTTAACCGCAGATGAAGGCCAGTACAAAGCTCAATAGCTTCAATGAACCAAACCCAAACCAGCTCTAAATTACCCAACCGACTCAAACCAGCCGGTTAAGAAAGAAACACAATACAGTTTACTGGTACATTCTTACATATTATCATCAACGAAAGAAAGAAAGAAAAACAGGCTTCAACGATCGATTATACTACTTTTGGAAAAACAGATGTACATTTACAAAGAATACGTGAAGAATTAACCAGATGATCGCTTCAAAAGAACTCATAACCAAATTTCGGATTCTAAGTAAGTGAAAAGCTAGAAGAAGATCATTGTGTTCATTTACCAGCAAATGCCGTTCTATATAGATGATAGTTTTCTAGAACTAACCTTTTCGTCCATTTGAATCAAGAATCTGTCTTTGCTTCTACGGTAACTGGCTTTAAGGTCTTAGGATGTGTTTCGTTTGTCACGGGCAAGTCCACGAGCGTTTGTGGAGGAGCAAAGTACATGTGAAGTGACATTATGCATATGATAATACCCAAGAAAAGCTGCAGGATGGTTACAGGAAATCAAGACAGAATGAGTCAAGTACGAGAGAGAAGATCCAAGATAAATCATATACAAACCTGCACTGTCGGTTTGAAACTGAAGAGGTATATGGATGCAACCATAGTAAGAAGCATCGCCATTGATGTAGAATAAACCTAGGAGAAGAAATTGTGGATGCATGAGGTTAAATAACTTTTTTGTTTACCTTCTTAATTATGCTCGATAGTGAATAACAGGTTTCATCTTTTACCTTCACAATATTGTCTGCATACTTCATTAGCCATGAGACGAGTAAGCCTGTGGATCCGAGATTCAGAACTACCATCCAAGTGGTGATGCTATACCCATCAAAGATACGTTGCCACCAAGGACCCTTTTCAAACCCAAATCTGAAATCATCTGCTATAAGTCGAGCAACATTGAAAAGCGAACCAAACCTAGTAAAATCAAAGAACAGAAGAATAAGATGGTTGAACCGAATACCATTGCCCAGTGAAGAGTTTATAAGTAACATGACATTAATACTGTTGGCATGAGAAAGCTTCATGTGAAGAAGAGATACCTACGTATACAACTGCAAATTTTGCCAGTATAAGCTGTCATTGTTTCTCTTCATCAGAAACTCTGTGTAGATTCCAGCTAGTGCGGACAAGCCAGCTGAGAGAATGCCCAGCAAATACCCTTGTATTGGTGCCGTGAATAGCGAATCACACGAAGCCTCTCCGCATCCCTTAACCTGAAACGACAAGGCAAATTCAATAGTTAGAATCACTTTGAACTATCAGCATAAAACCAAGAGTGCTGCTAACTGCTAAGATGAAAAATATTTTGATTTTTGAGAAACATAAGGTTATTTATAAGCCTACAAAGATTATTTTTCAAAATCAGTAATACGATTTGAAGGAGAATATCATAGGCTATTCAAAATGTGTGTGCATCACCTGGCTAGTAGTTGTTCCAACAGCTAAAAGACCAATCGCCATCCACTGAAGTTTTGATAGTTTCCTCTTTAAAAATAACCTATAGTAAGAATGAATTACAAATCAGTTAATCTATAGAGAGAATTCAGAATCATTTTCCAGTTATTCTTGTTTCTTTTCACGCAAAAGGATACTAGAGAGAAAGAAGATACCTAAAGAGTATGGCAGTAGTGACAATCTTGAGATTACCCATTATCTGATAAGTGGATGTGTCCACATAAGTCAATGTAGCAAACTGCACATTGTTATGGATGAGATATATAAGAGAAGGAATAACAAATAAGCGCACGCTCTTCCAATCCGTAGTAATTCTTGAAGTTGTTGAGGTAGATGTCCGCATCTCTCTCCAGAGAAACAAACCAGAAATGATCAACTGCAGAAGAAGTTTTGTTT